TTTCAAGGCCTAAAAAATACTTAGCCTTACCAAGGTCTTTGATGGTGAACAAGGTATCAAGATACTTTTTAAGGTTTTGAACTTCAGATAAACAATTCCCTGTTATTAACACATCATCAACATAGATGAGTAGAATGAGGACCTTCTTATCTGTGTGTTTGTAGAACAAACAGTGATCATGAAAAGATTGCACAAATCCATAAGAAAGAAGCTTATCAGAGAACTCTATGTTCCATTGCCTACTAGCTTGTTTGAGACCATAGAGACTTCTCTTAAGCAGACACACCTCTCCTGGTTTTGCCTTAGTGTAGCCCTTAGGAGGAACCATATACACTTCTTCTTCCAAATAACCATGAAGGAATGCATTGTTGATGTCAATGTGGTGCAGTTCCCAATTATGTTGTATTGCCAAAGCAATGAGTAGTCTCACTGAGACTAACTTAGCAACTGGGGAGAAACTGTCAAAGAAATCCACTCCTTCCTTTTGTAAGTATTCTTTTGCCACTAATCTGGCCTTGAACTTGTCTACTGTACCATCTGGATTTCTCTTGATTTTATGAACCCATTTAGATTATATTGCTTTCTTCCCTTGTGGTAGTTGTGTAAGAATCCAAGTATGGTTTGACTCCAAAGCCTCCAGTTCCTTCTGCATGGCAGCTATCCACTTATCATCCTTCACTGCTTGCTCATAAAAGATTGGTTCCCCCACTGTGTCCCCTAGAGTAGAGAAAAAAGTATCAAATTCAGCACTATCATCTGTCTCAACAATGTAATCTGACATCCAAGATGGTGGTTTCCTTATTCTGCCACTTCTTCTCTCTGCAATGATAGGTGAAGAATGAGATATGAGTTGTTGTGTATTTGTCTTAGTAGACTTTGTCTCAGTAGACTGCTCATAAAAATCCTCATCTTCTTCAACAATCACTTGTGCTGGGTTGTCTTGTTTGAACAAGTCAACATTAACTTCCCTCTTCTGAAATGGAAATTTGTGTTCATAAAACACAACATCTCTAGTGATGAACACCCTTTTTGTTTCCAGATCATAGACTCTATATCCTTTTGTCCCTGACACATATCCCAAAGAGAGCACATTCCACTGCTCTCTCATCAAACTTTCTTCTGTATGGATCAAGTCTGCTTGCAAAACATAAACATCCAAAAGTCTTAAACATCCCATATGAAGGTGTAATTCCATGTAACAGTTCATAAGGACATTTCCACCCTAGTTTTTCACTTGGTAGTGTATTTATGATTTGTACTGCAACCAGTAAACTGTAGGGCCACAGACTTTTAGGCAAGTTAGCTTGAAAAGAAAGTGATCTTGCTACCTCAAGGATAGATCTGTGTTTCCTCTCCACAACCCCATTCTGCTGTGGGGTATATGGACATGTTTTTTGATGAATGACTCAATTTTCCTTCAGAAAAGTCTCCATCTCCCTATTGACAAACTCACTTCCATTGTCTGTCCTCAACTTCCATATCTTCACATTGAATTGAACTTCAACCAATTTAAAGAATGATCTTAGACAAATGATGGTTTCAGATTTGTACTTCATTAGATAAATCCATGTGGCTCTAGTGAAGTCATCCACTATTGTGAGCATGTAGGAAGTGTTGAGCACTGATTCCTCATGATGTGGACCCCAAAAATCCACATGTATAAGTTCAAAGCTTCCTTTACTCTGTATGTGGCTGAGAGGGAAGGGCAGTTTTGCTTGCTTTGATTTATGACAAATCTCACAAATTCCCAGCTTCTCCTTTGAAACATCTCCCTTTATAAATCCCAAATGCCTCAAACAATTGACTGAGCTATGTCCAAGTCTCTTGTGCCATAAAACCAGCTCATTGTTAATAGAGACCTCATCTCTAGCTGAATTGGCATATAATCTATTGGTCTCTATGACATACAAGCCTCCCATTGCTTTTCCAACTGCAATTGTCTGATTTTTCTTTGCATCCTTTAGTCTGCACTCCTTGTTTGTAAAAGAGAAACTGAGCCCATTCTTTTCAACCAATTATCCTACTGATAGTAGGTTATATTTGAACTCAGGTATTAACAACACATCCTTAAGTATGATTCTGTTGTCAAAATTCACCTCTCCCACTTGTGTTACTTTCACCTTTGAACCATCTGGCAAGTTCACTGTGATAGGGTTTGTCACCATTGATTTATTGTAAGCCAAACCCTCATCACAACAGATGTGCTTGCTAGCTCCTGTATCAATGATCCAACTCCCTCTTGCTAGCTTGTTTGTCAATGAGAATGCATAATCTTCAGTTTCATCAGTTAGCTCAGCAAAATGAGAGAAAGTATGAGCCTCCACATTGTGTTGTCCAGACATATATTTGGCTACTTCCCTTTGTATCAGGAGACCAATATCTGTTGGAGAGTCACTTTGTTGGGACTTTGTTTCTGAATCAGCCTTTGAGGATTCATCACTTTCTGCCATATTTGCAACTTAGTTCTGCCTTTTTTCTCTTAACTCCTTAAACCACTCTGGATAACCATTTAACTTAAAGCAACCTTGAACCTCATGACCATTGTATTTGCAATGAGTACAAAATAATTTTGCTCTTTCTTCCTTTGACAGTCTTTGACCAAACCTTCCTTTCTCCGAATAATTGTTCTGTTGTCCTGCAAAGTTTCTCCCTCCATTACCTCGACCAAAGTTCTGCCCTCTCCCTACACCTCTACCAAAACTACCTTTTACCATCATGGCTGAATTCTCAAATAAGTTCATTCCTGTAGTAAAACTTTTCTGCTTTTCCACCTTCAAAATCATAGAGTATGCCCTATTTATGGTTGGCAAGGGTTCTAGCAATAGGATTTGATTTTTAACTGGTTCAAAGACTTCATTTAACCCCATAAGGAACTGCATGAGCTTAATTTCCATATCCAAAGCACCAAAAGCCTTTCCAGTCCCACAAGTGCAATCAGGTAAAGACACAAGGCATGAGAACTCATCCCATAAGCATTTAAGTTTTGTGTAATATGCAGTAACAGATAGAGATCCTTGTGAAAACGTAGCTATCCCTTTTTGTAACTGATATCTTAACGGTCCATTGGTTTCACCATATCTCTCAGCCAATTCTTCCCATAACTGTTTTGCACTTTTAACATACATGAAGGCTTCTACAATCTCTTTTGAGATACAGTTAAGGATCCAGGAAATTACCATAGACTCCACCTTTTGGTATTGATCGTGTTCTTCTGAACCTGGATCTGGGATCTGCACCGTACCATTGGTGAAACTAAGCTTTGACTTAGCACTCAATGCAAGCTTCATTGCTCTGCTCCAGTGAAGATAGTTGGCTCCATTTAGCTGGTTGGTGACAAGGACCATCCCAGGGTGGTCCGATCCATGAAGGGAGAGTGGATCTATGTCGCGAGCGTAAATGCCCCGTCCTACGAGTTCGCGACCGTCATTGTTGTGCGCCATGTATTTCAGCCTGCTCTAGATACCATGTAGAAACGGAATATTGCGAATTTATCACGAAAATTGACAACAAAACTCAAAATATTAAAACACCATTTTTAAGGAGCTTCAAGCTCAAAATGTTCAGTTGCTGAGAGAAAACTCTTAGCTGAGCTAAGGGGAAAAAATAAAACCTAAAACCCAAACATCATTCGCACGTGTAACAGGCACGTGCGCACTAAAAGAAAAATAAAGCAAGAAAAGAAAGCGCGGTTACGATTATATAAGTCTCCCACGCTATTACAGAATTAACAAAAAATAAACTGCATGCTGTAATGTGAAAGCCATGCACGGCCAATAACTCCATTTGTAATCTTCCACATAAATTGAACAAGTTAACAAATCTAAATTTATCATTAATTAATTTTAATATCTTTTTATAAATTGCTACAAGTTATCAAACAACAAATTATGTCAAACTCAATCATCAAAATAAGCTTTTCGACTAAATTTAACTAGTAAACAACCCAAAATAATCTCTGTAAATTTAATTGGGTGACAACATTAGTTCCTAAAAAAATATTTTAGTCTAGGCAGCGGACGCAAAAGGTTCGATCTGTTTCTTATGTCTACGCGCTATCTTAAAGATTTTGCACGACCTCTATTTTACTCTTAACGAAACGAGAACAATAATAATTGTTAATTAAAGTCTCGAATATAGCAAATAAACTATGAATATTTTATACACTTCGACCTAACTAAATTTTAGCACATGATGTGTGAAACACACAAATTAAATTTCCCATATATTTACCGAATAGTATAATGTTACATGGATATATGCTTTTGGTTGGACATCTTTCTTATGTTCTTTTAAATGGAATCAATATTAGGTGGTAATTTTGTGGCATATATTGAGAAACTCTTTTATTGAAAAAGCACTATATTCTGTTATACTGCGTTAGAAAAATACAACACAACTTCTTGAGGAATTTTGTTTCATTTGTACCTTGTTTTAACTTAAGTGTAAAGACCAAAATAAATACATTATTCATTATTTCATTTTTCCTCAAAATTTTCAATATCATTTATATAAAAAAAAATACTGTATATTTTTCTAAAAAAATCTTTATATTACAGATTTTGTATAATATTCGTGATATTTTGTAACAAATATACATATTTATATTACGATCTGTTATAAAATCATTTTTTTTTTCTACTAAAAATGACATTTTTAATTTAAAAGTATGCATGCCACTAGAATATTAGTACGATTTTCTAAGTATTATTATGTTTGCCTAACTGCAGTCTTCAGATATGACTAAGTGTTAGATAATTAAACATTTTTAATGAATACATATACTTTTATTTACATTCAAATCTCACATTTCAAAAAAAAAATAAATAATAATAATAATAATTTATAATATTTCATAATATAAGTATGTATTTTATTGTAACAAATATAACGAGTCGACCCGATTAGACATTAAGATGCCTAAAGAATTTGTGTTATATATTTAAGTTACATCAACACAGCAATTTAATTAAAATTAAAAATGGGCATTATTTTATAAAAAAATGGGCTGTGTTTGGGCGAAGCAAAAAACAACACGCATATTTGAAGACCCCTCTCTTCTTTCCTCTCAAACAAGATGTAATTTCCTTTCATTTTTTTATTTTTATTTTTTATTTTTAAATTAATTATTTAATTTCCTTTCATTTATTTAAAATTAAACTAAATTTTTTTGTTATTTATTTATTTTTAATCAAGTTTTTATATGTAATTTTGAGCTACAGTTACTGTCACAGAGATAAAATCACTGAATGAGCTGTTCAGAAAATTGGGCAGTACCTTAGTAGATGATGGCTTCCTCAACAGGGTACCTATTTAATAATTTTCATCTTATAATTAATTAATGTTTTTATAGATTATTTATTTTATAATTAAGGTATATATTATAATAATTAATAATTATGAAACTTATTTATTGATCTAAATCTAAAACCCATTAAAATAAAAAAAATTGCATTGTTACAGGAGGAGTTCAAACTTGGACTATTTGGGGACAGCAAGAAGCAGTCTCTTTTTGGGGACAGAGTAAGATCATTATAATCCCAAAACAATATTTAGTATTAATATTACTAATTTATTTAAAATTAATTTTCCCTCCATTTTATTTGGTTTCGAGTATGAAAAGATGTTCGATTTGTTCGACTCCAAACGTGACGGGGTGTTAGATTTCGGAGAGTTCGTGAGATCGTTGAACGTGTTCCATCCCGACACGCCTCGCGACGAAAAAGCCATTTGTATGTATGCACACAATCTTTAGTGTTTGCTATAGTAATTAACTAATATCATGCAAAACAAATGTTAATTAGATATGAACAACTCTTTGATTTTTTTTTTTTTCGATTGCTCGATTTTACAGTTGCATTTAAACTATACGACTTGTGGCAGACCGGTTACATCGAGAAAGAAGAGGTGATCGAACTGTTATTATTCGATTTCGATTTTATCGTTTTTCTAATATATTTCATTTAATTTTTATTTCTTTTATTAAGGTTAAGGTGATGGTAAAAGAGTTCCTAAATGAGTCAAGTTTGATTCTTTCTGATGATATTATTCAAGCCATGGTGGATAAGGTATGGATTAATTTTATCAATGGTCAATAGCCAATCATTTTTATATATATAGACACACATTTCATTTTTTTTTTTTTTAATCTTCTTATTTTATTCTATTTATTGTTTTATTTTGATAAGACATTTGAGGAAGCAGATACAGAAAAGGATGGGAAAATAGATATGGAAGAGTGGAAAGAATTTGCCTCTCTAAAACCATCCTTGTTGAGGAACATGACTATTCCTTATTTAAGGTAATTATTTTTCCTTCATTTTGAGCTATTTTTGTTAGGGGTGTTAGTGGCTGACACGATATGAAATACGAACATGAAACGACAAGATTAAAATTAAAAAAAAACAAATTATAAAAAATAATAATACGATGGGCACGACAAGACACGACACGATCCAAAATAAGATGAGGAAAACACACATAAAAAGAAAAAAAAGAAAAACAATTCAATTTAAACTAGTTATCATATTTATAATTAAATAGACTGGATTGTAGAAAGCACGATAGTGAAGCACGAACACTAACGTGATTTACATATAAATTTCTCTAAATCGAAAATGCAGCAATTAAATTATTAGTAACCTCCCCCCTCATATTTTTCAAGTTGAAATCTTTTGTGATCATCTAAGTTATCTTGATAATTTTAGAATCTTTCGAGCGAGCTTGGCGATTTCCAAAATTAGGTCGATTGACGATTTTTGTTTTTAATTCTTTTTTTCTGCAGGGACATACCAACTACATTCTCTAGCTTGGGATGAGTTTGATATAAAGATTAAATTGGCATGTTATAATTTGTTGTGTTTTTGAATGAGAACATGACTAAGCTACCATAATTTTAACGGTAGATTTTATTCAACAAAGACATTTGGTAAATGATTGAGCATTTGAGGTTTGCTGAAATTGCACTATTAATAATTAAGCAATTATTAAAATATATGGAAAATTCAATCTTACCAATATTGAATATAATCACTCGACTCACTCGGGAGCTTGTCAATATTAATTCAATTGATTTTAATGATTTTGTATATTGATAGTTCATAACTTAACATATAACACTTAATTCAAATTGCTAATTAATAACTTATGAATGATGATTGGAAAGTTGGTTGATATATGAAAGTGTTTTGACACACTGATTTTCTTAACTCAACTTATAATGAGGACGAGAAATGATGTTGTTGGTTCGAGTTCTAAAATTAAGTGACAAATAATTGAAACAAAAAATTTCAATAGACTCTTTCGAAATATTACAAACATTTAAACCGTTTGACTTTTTTGAAACGCAAATGTATAGTCGAACATCTAAAGTTACTTCATGTTTTTAAATTGTCGTATGTCAAATCTACTGGGCCAACCGGCCTAAGAGATGTATGATTTGCATAAACGAACCAGCCCAAACATATTCAAGCCCGCAACTTGAGCCCACAAAATAGACAAAGAAGCCTAGTGTCCTTTACTAGCATTGTGCCGATACGTTGTTGATTGGGATGTCAGTCCTTTTCTGTCAGCAAAGTTTGTCAATCTCTTTGCAAAACGTGAACATGGACCGACAAAGTAAACCGAGAAAATGATCGTCCAGTCGGTACCATCATCAAAAGTCGAAACGAGCGTTCTCATCCTCAAAAGTATTATTTTTTTTTTTTTTATGGCAACACGTGTTAACTTATAAATTTTTTTTACTTTACACATAACAAATGCAACGGCTACAATTCCGCTCCCCTTTTGCCATCCTCACAAATCCATTGTCCCCTTCTGCGACAAATCTTACCCTAAATATGAGCTTCCATTATTTCGCGCGTAAATCGCTACTCTTCTCTCATACCATAAATTACTGCTTATTATTTGTATCCAACAAAAGCCCCAAATCAAAAATGAGGCGAAAAAATTGCTGATTTTCTCTCCTCCTCGGCAGTTTCTCGGCCACCTTCAGATGCAAGTTTTGCCGATTTAATTTCATTTTTCAGGCGCCTTTTCTGGTAAGAAAAAAATCCATGCTTTGATAAAGAAATATTTAAAGTTTCTTGCTCTTTTTTTTTTTTATTTTTTTTTTATTTGGAGTAATTTGTATCGTCTCATTTTATTTTTTCGCTCATGGGCTTTTGTTGAAGGTTTTGGGGTAATATTTATTGGGAATTTCATGCTCGTTTTTGCTGATATTGTGATACTGTTAATGGGTTTTGTTTCCCCTTTGTTCTTTGATCAATTTTTGGTTGATTTGCTTGTGTTCTTGACAAATGTGATTGTTTCTGTTTGTCTATTAAGATTCCACATTGTTTCTTTCATAGGGTTCATGAACTGGTCTGTAATTTTTGGTTAATACCCATTGATTTTTTAGGGTACCGAAAAAATTTACTGACAAAATAGTAGTGATCTTTTTAGGTAATTGGAGTAGAAAGAAAAAAACAAGTGAGCAATGTTTTTCTGTTTTCCTTTTTGCTATGTACATAAAGCATTAACTTGGGGTGATTAGGCCAACATTGAGCTTCGAATAATATGAGAAGTAACACTTAGGGGAGCCCTCGAATCATAGTGTGCTTTGAATAATGTTCCCAAAGTAGATGAAAAAAACTAATCAAGGATGATTACATTACATTAAAATCGACTATATATGTAAAATGAAGTCTCAGTTATGGAAGTTAACCCTAGAAATAGAGGAGGACAATAGTATTGGAGATCGAAAATCAAACGTTGTCCCCTTCGTTTTTCGTTTGCTCAGTTGGACAAGGTAGATTTGTTTTGTCTTCCCTTTTTTTCCTGTGTAAATTCAGGCTGATAAAAACAAAACAAAATAGGAGAGCATCACTTTGTTTCATTGGTCTCATTTCAGAAAATATATACACAGAAAAATTGCATGAGAATTTAAGAATGTGCCCCAATGTTTATAATCATGACGGGAGCCCGGCTGTGGTGGCCGTCGACCGGGACAAGCACAGCACGTCGGCTGTAAAATGGGCAATCGAGCATTTGCTCACCAACAACGCGACTCTTGTCATGGTTCATGTCAAGACCAGAAACTTGCATAACCGTAGGTACCCTCTCTTTGATCTATTTATTTACATGCTATTTATTCGTATCGTAAAATTCGTAATAGAATAAACAAGATTGGATTTTTAGGATTCTATGTGGTCCTAATATGCAGACGGTTCGAATGGCGGTCAACCGGAAGGTACCGGCGAATCCATGGAGGAGGTTTTCGCCCATTTTCGTGCTTTTTGTGCGCGCAAAAGGGTAAGTAATTAGTTATTCTTGAAATTTTATCCGGGACTTTGATTAGAAATCTCTTCTTGCATTGCAACAATACAACACATTCATTTATATAAACGGAAATTTTCTCTCCTACCCACCACGGTGAAGATTTTTCGAGATCTTTCCCTTGGTATGAACTATGGACTATGAACTCGTGCCAAAATCAACTGATGCTTGAATGTTTTGTTGAAAATCTTGTAGATAGCAATGCAAGCAGTAATCTTGGAAGGCACAGATGTATCAGGCACACTTTTAGACTACATAATCAGCCACCATATTACCAATGTAGTACTTGGTGCCTCATCAAGAAACCCAATTTCAAGGTACCATTTTTTTTTTGTTTTCCTCTCCAATATTGTCTGAATATTGATCCAACTTCTTTCAATCTGCTTTTGCACAAACGGAACAGGAAATTTTGGACACACGATGTGCCGACTATCATAAACAAGACAGCCCCAGATTTTTGCAATGTGTACGTTGTGTCAAAAGGCAAGACACAGTCCGTGAGGCCCGCGGCCACCCGAGTGGCAAACCACTCGACCCCACCACGGCTTCCGGCCCCACATCTGTCCTCGGGATCATCCGTACGTTCGGCGCATGGCGAGTCAGAGGAGTCTTGCAGTTACAGGTGCTCGTTTTTTAGAGGAAAAGATGAGGGTTTAAATTACAAAATCCACCCCCTAAATTCAGAGGAGTCTTGCAAAATTTTCTTGTTAAGTTACAATTAACAACCTGACATTTTTTTTTTTTTAATTTATATAAACAGGGCTTTTCTTGCGAGAGAGCATCAAAAAACGGCTAGTTCCGAGACGAATCTGACGAACGGAGCATTGGATCATCAATATCACGACACTTACAGTCGGGTGTCGAAGTTGTCGCCCGGTGACGGCAATGAGACCCCCAATTGGTGGTCGAAAACTTCGTCTTACGAATCGACAACCGAGGCTTCCAGCCGAGGCTCTCCGTACTCGTCCAGTTTCTTCTCAACCGATAACGACTCGACAGTCGACCACGAGTCAAGCGCGTCATTTTCCGTAAGTATCGTGCAACTTTTGTTACACGCTTTAATTTTGACTTCTGATGATCTTAAAAAACACTACAACTGCATGTTTCGATGAAATCCTTTTTAGGCAAATGGATCCTCCAATCACCAAAAGCAAGACGAAATGTATAGATCGGAACAAGCCAGGCTGGCGGAGGAGGCA